TAAAATGCACGTATTTCTGCCTCAGCTTATATTCCTTGCCTGGATTGGCAAAAAGCATCTGCAATGCACTGCAATTCATGCAGGTTTTGGAAAACAAAGATTGCTTAGTCTGACAAAGATTTGGTTAAGGAGTAATCTAATACTAGCCTATAAGTACTTTAAGGACAGCTATGGAGTTGACGGAACCAAGTTCTTCTCAGTGGTGGCAGGTGATCTAATAGGGGACAATGGCCACTGTGGGAGGTTCTGAAGGCACATTAGAAAGTAATTCTTCACCAAAAGCACTGGAACAGGCTGCCCAGAGGGGTGGAATTTCTATACTTGAAGGATTTCAAGAGCCGGCTGGTCAAAGCTGTGTCTGACCTGATCTAGTGATGGTGATAGTCACACTTCAATAGGCAGTTACGCTCTGGAGGAAGACCTCGAGATGTCCCTTCCAACCAGTATTTCTGTGATTCAGTGATTCTATGATTAAGGTACTCAGGCTAGTATAGTCGGTATTCTTGCCACAGGAGAAATTGTGGCTGAGATTTGCCTAAATCCTAGCTTTGAAAATATCTCCTTGAACTACAAAGTGACTTGAAATGATTACCCAGCCAGAAAAAATTACGTACAGAAAAAATACTTACCCAATTTACATCTTGTATAGCCTCAGTAAAGATGGATTACTTGAGAGTACCATAAATTTAAAGTACCAAATGCCAGAGGAAGGATGAAGGAATTATTATTTGGATAATGTTGGAATTTTGCATATTGCAACAATAGCAACAAACTAGGCAAGATCTCATCTTCCAAGATAATATTTGAAAAATAATATGCCGTGGATACTACATGGAAAGATTTTAGAAAGTTAAATTGTTCCACAATCCTAACACAACGATAGGGTAAAGCGTATGCTGAATCAGTCTTGGGCCATCTCAGTATACCCTAGGGCAACTCACACAGTATTCTGTGCTTACGATTAGGCACTGAACTGAAGCCTCGATTGCCTTTGGATGTGATGGGAGTTGACACAGCTCACACATAATCCATAGGTCGAGGGAAGTGGTTATTCTCCTCTGCTTAGCACTCGTTATATCACGTCTGGAATTCTGCCTCCAGTTGTGGAGCCCCTGCACGGACAAGGTGTTGATGAGCTCGGGTGAGCTCAGGATAGGGCCGTCAGGGTGATCGGAGGGCTGGAAGGTGTCACTGAGGGAGCTGGGCTTGTGCTCTGCACCAGGGGGGCGCAACAGTAAAGGGTGTGGTAAAATAGCTGTTCTCATAAGATAGGGTAAAACCAGAAATATAGACCGCGAGGAAATCTTAGGTCCCTTCCAAAGATGGGAGCCCTGCTTTTGCGCAGCATTGGACGGACATCAGATGGATCTTCCCCCAGAACACTGCACAGGTGATGCCATCTGTGCAGGGGTTCCTCCTCCCTCCCACGCTGTGGAGCCTTTTATTTTGCGTAGCGAACAATCATGTATCTTCTCCTGACAGGCTGGGATGTCATCTCTGTCATAACATCCACCAGCGCCAGCACAGGCTTTGAGTACAAGGCTCTGTAGAGCAGACATGTCCCATTCAAGATGACTAACTCCTTGAATGCAACATTTTCCGCAAGGCTCCCAACACAGTTTGTTCAGCCTGGAGGAGAGACAGCTTCAAGGGTCCAAACAGTGCTCCCCAGGACCTACGGGGAGGCTGGCAAGAGGTCCGAGCCAGGATCTTACTGAGGTCATGGCAGAAGAACGAGGGAAGGTGGTCAGAATCAGGGTAGGGTCTGGTGGCACGTAAGGAAAACCGTATCACAATGAAAATAATTACGCGTTTGCAACCGGTTACCCAGAGAGGTTTTGGGGTCTAAGCTCTTGGAGGTTTTCAAGACCTGACTGGACAAACTAAGTAAACTGGTCTGAATTCAGTGTTGTCCCTGCCTTGGGCAGCTGTGTGATTCCATAATTCTAAGCAGACACCTGAATTTAAGTCTTAATCCGTGAGCTGAATCCCTCCCTACTAGCTAACCAACAAATGTTAGATGAGAGTACATACTGAGAAATTCAGCAGAATTTAATTAAAATGTGCCTTCCCACACTACTGAAAGTAAATAATTTAGGAAAAGAATTTAACTTGGACAGATACGGTTTGGAATGAAGCAAAGCTGGGCAACAGAAGGACACTATTGGAGTAAAAGAACAGCTAAGACTACTTAAACATTTTCATCTGTTACCCTGTTTTTCTTTTCTCAGGGAGTTATATTCCCGGAGTGGATTCAATTTCAATATAGCATTATCCTGAAACTCTGCTAGCACGCATGAAGAGGATGGAAAGGGCACAGTTATAAAGTTATGGAACTATTAACATATATTGAACTGATGATATGCAAGATGGAGTAGAGTCTTACATCACCAGGACAATTTGTACAAGGAGGGTCACCCCCCCTTTTTATAAACATGGCAAAGGCTGCTTGTTGCACAGCGTGCTTCCCCTTTAACCTACGTCCACATGCGGGGTCTGACACCTATTATAGCACATCTGCTGCCCAACACTGTGCTGCATATGTGTGCAGGCCTAGGAAGAGTTGCATGTTCCCAGCGATCTTGCTGAACTATTCTAGGTATAGGTGATAAAACACATTTGCCTGAAATATATGTCTGCCCATATATTATGCATTGTGAAAATAGTACAAATATATGCTTCTGGTATGATATTCTGGTTAGTCTTCCAATGCTATCCCAGAAGTGACTTGTGTTGCATATTCTGGTCTTTTTACATATAATTCCTTGATCACCTTTCAGATCATGAAATGTAAATTTATCTTCCATGCCTGACCCTGAGCTTAGTTTTCCATTCAACACATTCCTGTTTCAGCCCACTTAGTCCTAGCTCTGCCTAGATGTACGTGTTTACTCTGCATCCTGCTAGAATAATAAAGATCCCACCTGGCTTTCTGCTAACTCATGGAGTGAGGATGGTCAAGGTAAATGATTTTGGAGTGCACACCTGAAATTTTGTCTCCATCTGAAGGTGGAACTGGAGATCAGCCAGCCTGCTCTACAGCGCAGTGTTTGCCATCAGCAGAATTGCCAGGGGTTCGTGGTCTGTGGCCAGTTCAGTTGCTTTTCTGCAAGTTGCTGTGTGAAGGGAGGGTGAGGGTAAAGGCAAACCCATTTGTTCCCTTATGGTCTTGCCATGCTGTTTCCCACTTCTGGACATAGATTCCAAACTGGGGGGAAAACTAAAAGGAAATGACCTCAGGAATCCAAGTTTCCTACAAATAGGCTTCCGTTTAGGAAAAAATTACCGGGTATATTAGATTAAGTTGTTGTGATTCATACTCTGCAACATGGTCTTAGAGAAAAGCCATTGTAGGCTCAGGCAGCTGCAGCAGCCTTCAGCCAAATCTGGATTATGGATACTTATAGCTGCTGTCAGTGGCAAAGTTTCCTGAGATTATTCAGTTTGTCTGCTGTCTGTTCTCGTAGTCTTACTCTCACTTGAGATATTAACATCAGTCCCATGGTGGGATGGAAGGGGGAAAGGGGGAGAGAAAAGAGACCACGCTGTTTTGTAGTCTACCTCAGCATCCTGTTTATGAATTTTGCCCTTCTCCTGTCTGTTGACACATGAAAGCATTCAGTCCCAAAGAGATGGTAGTCTGTTTATGAGGTTCCTGAGCTGGTTTTATAACATAGTGATGATCACAGCAATTATTCAGCGTAGGTTCAGTATTATGTCCTATACATGCAGCATGGACATACTTTTAACCTTATCGGTTTCCTCTTCAGAAAGACTTAAAATTACCAGTCTCCTGACTGTAACCAAAAGGATATGAGTACTGTAGCTTCAAACAAGATTGCATACAAACATGTGTTATCTTTCATATTGAATTAATTCATTTTATTAAATCTCTCTTTTGTGATTAAGAGGGCAGACTGAGGGAGAACAAATGAAATATTAAATCAAAATTGCTATTCTTATCTGCCACTAACAATATGCAAAAGTCATACTGGAAGGTCAAAACCAACGAAATTCTTGTGGTCGTGATACAACTTACTCCACAAAAATAAAAAGGATTAGGTACTGAAAAATGACCTCCCAGCCTTTAGCACTATAGTAGAATAGAGACCCTTGACAATTGTTTCATCATAGAGACCTTTTTCTCAGTTGGATTACCCACTGAATTTTCACTTATTTTTCTATTAAATTCTCAGTAGATTCATGGTCCCATTAAAAATAATTTATTTCACATGTGTTATTTTTCATTTTGCTGAGAAAAAACCTCTAAGTCTTGACCCCGTCTTGAAAGAAGAAGATTATTTTTAGGGCAGTTTGAATATTTTTCCTCTTTTTTTTTTTTTTTTTTAGAATCAGGTGACTCCAGAAAAGAGAAGGAAAAAAAAAAAAGCCATGGAAAAAAGCATTTCTTTGTCTCTGCTGCATTTAGGATGTGGTCGTGCCCCAGGAGCCTAGAGAATTGCAGTTACGATGTGCCTGAGCTCAGGGGCCCAACTTTCCGTCTACGTACAAACATTCCTCCCGCTTCAGCCGAAGCGTGCGCTTCTGGTTTGCGTAAAAAACATATTTGCGAGAACTCTCCCGAGTAAGATCATCTAAGTATGATTTTGGCCACAGCTATTTACAAGCGCGGGTTTTGACTGAAGTGAGTAATTGAATTACGTTGAGCCTCTGAAGTTTGCCTTTTATTTATATATTTCCCCCAATTGTGTGGCTCGGTCTGCCATTGGCTGCGGTCCCTGCAGCCTACCCGAGGGCTCTGCAGTTACATAAGGCTCTGTCTGCTGGGAGCCTATATAAAGCCTTTTTGCATGCCAGCAAGAGACAGAATTTTATCAGGAGCCAGGTCCCACTGCTTTAGTTCACACAAACAGGAGGAGATTTGCTTGAAGATATACCGAAACCCGAACCCAGGCTGGTCTGTTTGCTAGCCAGTACTTCACAGCTGTCAACCTGAGTCGCAAGTAGCAGCTACTGTAAGTAAGTAGCTTCTGTGCACGATGAAGAATTTTTCATTTCCTATGCAGGATAACACACATCAGACTGAGAGTCCTTCTCCTCACAGATTCCTGAGTTTGACAAATCAGTCAGATCCTGTTGGAAGACCAGAAAGAGATGAGCAATTAGCTCAAGTAGAGATTGCCGTACTGGGGGTCATATTTCTGACGGCGTCTGTGGGCAATTTTATTCTCATACTGGTGCTGTGGCGAAGAAGAAAGAAGCTCTCTAGGATGTATGTGTTCATGCTTCACCTCAGCATCGCTGACTTAGTGGTAGCCTTTTTTCAAGTGCTTCCTCAACTCATATGGGATATTACAGATGTTTTCATAGGGCCAGATTTCTTGTGCAGAATTATCAAGTATCTACAATTGCTGGGCATGTTTGCCTCTACTTATATGATAGTGGTCATGACAGTGGACAGATACCAAGCGGTTTGCTACCCTATGGTCACTTTCCAAAAGAAGAGAGCTCTCTGGAACATCCCCATTTGCACCAGCTGGTCTATATCACTGATTCTTAGCCTACCACAGGTATTTATCTTTTCTAAGACTGAAATATCTCCAGGCATCTTTGAATGTTGGGGTGAATTTGTTCAGCCATGGGGCCCAAGGGCATATGTGACTTGGATTTTTGTAGTTATATTCTTCATTCCCTCAGCCATCCTTATCATGTGCCAGGTTAAGATTTGCAAAATAATCAAAAGAAATATATATGTGAAAAAACAGAATGAATATGAAGTAACAAATCAGAAGCAAGTCCTGCCATCCCGAGCAAGCAGTGTGAACTGTATTTCAAAGGCTATGATCAAGACTGTAAAAATGACAGTGGTGACAGTTGTTGCGTATGTTCTCTGTTGGTCACCTTTCTTCATTGCACAGCTGTGGTCTGTGTGGTTCCCCAGTGTCGTGACCGAAGGTAAGATACTCTCCATCCTCATTCGTAACTAACTTCATAGCAGGCTAGCACATTGCTATATTGCTTTATGTTTGCACTTTGCTTTTGTGTAAAAGTTACATGTGATCATTGGAGTATGATTAAAAAGAAAATCCTGGATCGATTATCTGCTGTATTTAGTTAGGTACAGAGAACTTAATGTGTTATGTGATCAAAACATCGTACAAGTCTGGTTTTTGTGTGTGTGAGTGATTAACCATTTAAAGATTAACGAACAGCCCAGTGAAAAGTATCATTTGCTCCAGCAATGGTTCAGACTTTTAGAGATTTTAGATATTATAGCAGCAGTATTTGGGGGTCTTGAGCTGAAAAGGAGTAATTAACTCCTTATTTACTGAATAGAACAGTGGTGTTATAAGACATCTGATTTTTTTTAAAATATTGAAATCATATTGATGAAATCTCTGTAGTTCAATATGAAACAATTAAAAGTTGTAAAACAGCTGTTTATAAAGCAAAAAAGAAAGCCTGAGAGAGAGGTATCAAAGAACACCATGCTGTAAGCAAGATTAATCCTGTCAAACTTATAGTATTGCCTCTTTGTGAAAGGCAGACTCTGTACGTGACTTTATTTAAGTTCACCTATTCTAAACTCGGAGATATAAACCAAAGGAAAAAGAAAGATAATAGCTCTGTCTGATGGAGAAAAAAAATCTTCTGATCTTTGTTTTAAGACTTCTTCCTGTCAGTGTGAATTTGGGTCTTAATCTACATACATTTAAATCAACATCTATATCTGTATTTATCTGTATCTGTATGGCAGATTAGTAATTGCTTTTAAATTTAATGCAGTTACATCAAAAAAGAGCTATATGGAACTATTTAACTCTGAAATGCATACAATACAGTGTGCTTCATACTTTCAACAATTACAAATTGCATTGAATAAATGGGAATTTCCTACTATTAGATTAACTTTAATGTGTGAACAGGCACATCAGAAAGCCCGAGACTGTGAAGATGTTACTTATTGGTGCAAGTGCTTTATTGACTCTGTTATTCCTTTAACTATTTCATTCTAGGTTCAGCATTCACCATTATCATGCTCCTTGGCAATCTAAATAGTTGCACCAACCCATGGATTTACATGTATTTTTGTGGCCACATTCCGTATTGCACAAATAAGCAGCAGGAGAACACCTCGGCTCAAGAGGAATCGATGATCACGGGGAGCATTCATCTTGTAGACAGAGACCCTGAGGAAAACAGTACTTCTGCATAAATGTTGAATGCTTTTTGTTGTTTTGTTACATTTGCTATGTTCACAAGACATACCGATATTTTACCACCATCCCTGGTTTTGTGGATAAGGAAGCTGGAAAATTGTCTTTTGTTATGTAAATATATTTCTCTGCAGTTCTGTAGCATATACAGGAAGTTTCTGTGTTGTGCAAGCCTGACTCAGTACTTCCATCATCACAATGTTATCAAAATGAATTCTTGTAAAGACTGACAAAGATATATAAAAGTATCTTAGATATTTTGTGTCCTAAACTACTTTTGCTTCTGTTATTCTGGATTTCTAAGTAGTAAAATTTTGCAACTAACTGGCCCAACAAATTGAAACATAATTGCAAAGGAATCTGACATAATTAGACTTGAATATGTTTTCAAATTGAACCATGAATTGTTCATCATTCTGGTGTGATTGGGGGACAGTCTAGCAAATCTTGAGAAGGCAGCAGAAAGTCAGAAAAATCCTTTGCCAGCTATTATTAATACCTGTTTTAAATTAACTCCTTATATACATTTATAAAATGCCAAGCAGCTTAGTATAATTTTTAAAAAAACAATTTGTTGTCCTTGTGACACTGCACACCTACTTCAGTTCCAAATGCCACTGCGAATCACAGGTATCGGTGGCATAGTAGCAGTCCAGGTTTGTGGCTTCACACCATGGGATTTGATCTTCCATGCATTCCCTGATGTGCAAGCAGTTAACTGAACACCCCCTGCACACATACGTATACATACTTTAAATAAAAATGGGTGCTAGGAATGTACACTTTCATTTGGTATTAAGACCTATTTGTTCCGGCATGCAGTTTATTGACAGAATGTGCTTAGAACCCCTTCAGGCTCAAATTCAATTATTTCCCCTTTGTGATAAAAATAAATCTGCATCTCTTTACCTCAAAATGCCATTTGCTTGCTAGTTTGTGGGTGTTTTATGCAGGTAGCTATTTATTCCCCTTTCAGCGTCTGCAATCTAATCAGAGGAGGATGGAAGGATTATCAGCAAGGCTCTTTCAGGTGAGAACAGAGCTGCATTCACGGAGATTCTTGGCGATACTTGCATATCATCTGTCTACATTATACTGTGTTTCATCAGTGCTATTCACATTTCATTTTTATGAGTGCTAGCAATCTCAAATTTCAACAGAACAGCTATGAAAGTGTGTGTGGGGTTAATAGTCTTTAAATTGTACTCAAAATACTGATTTACACTAAACACTGATTGGATTGTGAGAAGTGCTGCCGTACAATGAATAGTTAACACTTCTGGTTAATGTGTGCTGGTATGACTGAATATTCTATGGTTTCTGTTCCCTGTATATTTAGACCAGATAGGGGTACAAACCAAATATTGCTGTTCTTTATGATGGGAAAAGCTAGTGTCCCAGTCCAGCTGGCAAGAACAACAGGTCTCTGGCAAGTACGCAGAGGAAGAAGGTGGATGAAGATAGTGCCAGAGCCAGACAGGAATGGGAAGAATCTGTATGAAGTCTCTCATAATTCTAATTGATACTTTTTTCTTGCTGGGTTTTGTTTTTCCCTCTCTTTAATTAATAGGTGTTAATTCTACCCCACAACACTTTCCCTGTTAGAGCAATTCTGTAACTCAAATGACAGTGTCCGTATCTGGGGTATGAACATCCAAGATACAATCCATACTGTTGATAGGATATTTGTTATATTCAGCCACTGACTTTCTACGACTTCCAGTCAAATTAGCTCTCAGTCAAGTTTGCCCTTAGGACTTATTCCAATAGTTAATGGTGGGGTTTTTTTTGTTTTTCTACTTCCTTTGACTGCAGTTAGTTACATAGTAAAATATGCAGTGTTGAAAGGAACTGTAAATAGAAATGCTTCAGGGAATTACCTGTGTCATTGCACTACTGGATTTGCAGCAAAACACGTTGAAGACCTCAGAAAAAAGGTATACATTTGCAAGGAAAACAGGCATTCAAATTGCATGCAAATAGTCATCCAGATCCAGAACTGACCTAAGTCACAGTACTGCTCAGAGACCGCAGTGGAGCTGTGCCATTTTACACCACCTGGTCTGGCCTCTGATATTTAAAAAGTATGACTTTTACTACTTACATTTCTGCATTGCTCATATATTTGTTACTGGCTCTGTAAATAATTTGGTAGAGCTTGATTTCTCAAGAGTAGCTCAATGTGTTCTATAAAAGTCTGAGAACAAGATTAACTATCCATATTTCAGATATTTTGATCATGTAATGAATGAAATGCCAGAACTTCTTAAGTTCAATAATGAATGCTCACTGTCTGTAATGTTCAAAACAATGATTTGTCTCTCAAGTGCTTTCCTTCTGATTTTTTTTTCATTTTCTTTCCCCTGAGATCAGTCCTGCTGTTAAGAAGAAAAATAAAGGTCACTGTATTATGGTGTCAAACTACAGGCTGCGGACACTTTTAGTTTCCATCCATCAGGAGGTATTTGAACACAGGTATTCCTGCTTTTTTTTCCTAGCAAAGTGAATTGGGCTGCATTTTCCAGATGTAAGTATTATCCTGTGTGGCCTGCCCTGCCTGCCCCATGGGCAGCACTGACCCCTGACAAACATACTCAATGGGGAGTTTGGTTCTGGTCCACAATTTTCTGTCATAACTCATTTTTAAATGATGGAAAATTCATTTTGATAGCTCTTTTTTTTTTTTTTTCTAATAAAGTGTCCTTTACAGGGCTTTTCTTACTTCTTGAAGAAAAAGACTTTTAAAAATACAATTAAATTTTTCTCTTTGTAAATTTGGCCATCAGTTTTCTTGGGAGTTGTAGTGCGAACGTCTTGTGCCCTTGTTTTCCTCTACATTTTGATTCTTCAGCTGGACTATGTCTTTTCGAATTCACTGTCACTTAGTTTTCCAATAGGCATTACAGTGTCTCATTAAGAGGGATGACTGTGAGACATCACTGTAGTCTGGTGAGGGTGTTTAATCCGTATGGGAGAATCAGAAACTTGAACGTACAAGTCCCTGGAGGCACTGTGGAAGCACGTGCAAATGAAAAAATCCAATTATCAGATGAAAGCCTTCCTCATCAATGCCTAGATTCTGTTTTCTCATACAAATAATTTCTGAGCAGAAAAATACATAGCATAGAAGTTCACACTCATGAAGTGAATGTCTATGTTGTTGATACTGCCACTGCAGTATAATTTCTGGTTATCTGTTTGGGGTTTTTTTGTTTTACTTTACAGGGATTTGTTACCACTTGGGAAAAGCACAGTTCAGTAAAAGGAATTATGTTCTTTCTTAAAAATTATTGGTTTATGTTTTGCAGTACAGAGAAGAAGAATCAAAGACAATGTGATCTATCAATTCTGTGCAGATTTATTACAGAAAAAAAAAAACCAACCCCCAAACTCCTAGTAGAATGAAAGGAAAATCCCAACATGTGTTTTGCATTCTTTACAGTATCTTTTGATAATTCTGTCATTCTACAGAACTGCTGCTGTATTTTCGTAGCCAGTCCCAGTGCAGATACTTGTAAATGGTGAATACTGAAGCCGGAGGTATTGGGTGATAATCTTTTTAATCTTTCAATTAAATGATGCTGACAAATTTTAAAGACAGTGCCAAACTCATCTGCCAATTTCACTTTCATCATTTAGTTCTGGCAATGGTAACCAGTTATCGTGTCAAATAAACTGCTCCTGTCTCTGTGCTGTTGGGAGAAGACTTTCAGTGTGATGTGGAGGCCCAAGTTGGAACTGGCAGTTTATTATGTGAGGCAGACATGGCATGCAGACATGGCTTTATTGTCTAGCTCCCAAACACATCGCCAGGATAAAAGTATCCTCGAGAGCTTGCGAATGTTAGGTATTCTTGGCTGAAGAGTACCATGAGCAGACAAAGGCAAAGCAAGATGATCCAGCTACTCAGTTCTTTCAGTCAAATCCAGTTTGGGTTGGATTCCTCAGAGGAAAAAAAAAAAAAAGGCAAGCAAGCCATTTTCTGTCTTCATAAGGTGGGGATTTGGCCCCAGATGCCCTGGGTATCTACAGGAAACATCCATGATTGTGAAACAGATGATTCATACATGCAGCAAAACAGGATTGCAAAGGAAAACAGCTCAAATAGGAATTGTATTACTTACAGCAAGGCAGTCAGAAATAATTTATTTACTACTGTATTAGCTGACCCACATAGATTTGAATTGAAAGGAAATCACACTTAGAAAATGAGAAATAAAACCTGATGCAATTTAGGCTACCACATCCAAACTCCACCTGCCATCTCCAAAGCCACCTCTTCAGTCCTATGTGTGTCAACACCAGGCCCCTCTACGCTCTCACGGTCCCAGGTAGAGCCTCACACTCTGTAATAGAGTTCCCCAACTCTACCCGCCCTAATGTCTTGCAGAGGTACCCCAGATTCTCTTCAATTTGCCTCTGAAACAAAAGGATAGAAGCTGTGTCTTTTTCTTGGGCTTGTAGGATGCTCCTGCTATTGCCACTTGAGAACTTTCTGAGTGTCACCTCATTAAGAAGGTGAATTCTGAGCATCTTTACAAGCCCTTTGTAAAATTTCCATTACTTTGCATGTCACTTTTTCAGGAACGAAAGAAAGAATAGACTTTGAGTGAAACTAAGTAGGCCATACCCACTCCCTTTTTCTTCCTTTTCGTGCCAATACAGCAGACCAAAGCATATGCTTCCCACCTGTAGATCATAGCCACTAATTTAACTAACCTATTCTATCATCCAGCTCCAAAATAAACTTTGGAGGTGATGAAATTCTAACCAAAGGCTTCCTGAATTTCCATCCAAATGTTGCCCTAGAGATGCAGTGCAAACATATCCAAGTGCTATTGTATTCATCAGATGCTTTTTTTGTATCATGACTGGATTTATGTTTCTTGCATCCATTTCAGTATACTTGCCAAAAATTGTTGAAATTGTATATTACCCATTAGCATCAAATCTCCTGAATTCTGAGTTAACAACACAGGAATCAGTACGACCTTGTGGA